TAAAGTGATGAATACAAAACCAATTGCTTTTAGAATTTGGATATAAGATCTAATATTATTACTTACCTCAAATTACAAATAGAATACTTAATCAAAAACATAAAACAATATTAAGAAAGTATAAAGAATAATGTATAAATTTTTTTGGCTTAACTCTTTAATTTCTTTTTATAATGTTAGGAATTTAAATGACATCTATCTTCAATCCTATCAAGTAGCTATCATACATTCAAATAATCTTTATTGTCTGAAAAATCTTTTTAAAGAATCAATGTTTCTTCTTACTAATAAAAACGTTATATCTACAAAAAAAACTTTACTTTGTCATAACTCTATTTGGACTTCTTATATATATATATATATATATATATATAGATACATATATTATTAAAAATAATTATTATATTATAATAATATTCTATCTAAATTTTAAGATTAGATTGGATTATATAAATTAACATCAAATTATTTACTAGAAGTGATATTCTAATTCTCTATTGATTATATTAAGATAGAAGAAAACAATTGATTTGTTCTACTTTGATCCATTAACTTTAAATTTTCTAAATTAACATGTAATTTTAAACTTCTATTTTGATGATTTTTTATTATTATTGTTTTTTTAAAAAATATGCATAATTCAATATACAATGAGAATCAAACAAAAAGTTTTGTGAAAATTATTAGAAGTATCTCAAAAGCACAACTAATAAAAAATTGAGCAATAGACGTTAATTTATTCTATGGTCTAGTTAATGACTTGACTTTTGATTCCTATTATTTTGGAATTAGAAGAGAAAAAATCGTACTTTGCTAAACTTGGAAATAAATTACTTCAAAAGAATATCTCTACTTCTAATCCAATAGCACACAAATAGAGATTCCTCTTAAATTATCTCTTCTTTTCTATTTAAGATGATATTTGATTCAACCTCTCATCCTATTAAAAAATCATATTTATTTGATTTATATGGCATAAAATTTTTTTAATTAATGCTTTGAAAAAAAATAAACTCTAATATCAATATTTATTATGCCTTATGTTGCCCTCAAAATCTAAAATCCATTCTCTAGATATATTAGGATTATCATCAAGCCTAGACTATTTGGAATTGGACTATGTCTATTTTTTACAAATTATCATCAAAATTGTGGAATTGGAATCAATGGAAATCCCTCACTTAGGAACAAGTCATTTTTGTTGAGAAGTATTCTCTAGATTCAATTATTTTTGTAAGGTATGGTCCTTGATATGGGGACTTTATATTATTTAGATTCAAAGAAACAAATATGTGTTTAAAAATGAATTATGAAGTAATTCTTATATTAGAGGCTTGGTTTGAAAAGACCTAATTGAATATGGACAAATTTGTTGAAAATTTGTCAAAAGAACATGATGCAACATCTAGAACATAAGACTACCATACTCAAGAGATGGAACAACTTGTGGATTTTTGCGGATGCTCAAGGAACCCTGATGTCTGCAGTGGTGATATCGATGCCTGGAATGTGCTTAGCTGGTCTGGAATTGTTTTCATGTTGGGCTGTTCCGTGTGTTTGTATATACAGGGAGTGCAAGTGAGTGAGAGAGTGGATTCTGTAATGACATTTATCTCTTTGATCCAAAGATCTATATGATATTCTTAGTATCTGCAAATACTCCGGTGGAACCAGGTCGTGAGATTGTGGGTTATGTAACTGAAACCCAAGGTGAAGTTGTTTCTCCTGCCAGTTTGGTTTTGCGATTAGTACAGTGTTGATTGTCTGGAAATATAGTAACAATGAAACAATTTCATCTAGTATCACTCCAATCCAGGCAAACGTAGACAAGAACCGCAGATATGTGGATAGACAGATTTTGACAAGAATGACCCAATGATACTAGCAAATAGGACATTTAGCAGAAAGAAGTGAAAACGGAATTCATTTTGATTTGTGGTATTCCTTAAAGATGGTCATCGGAGATGCACGATATCGAAACAGATTCGCAATGTATGACAAGTCAAAACTGTCAAAACTAGTATCGGACCCCGAATTACTGAATTCAAATTCCTTTCGTGAAGCACAACGGCAAATTTCTGATCTATTCGCAGACATTATGAAATACACGCAACCAAGAAAGTGCAAAATTTTACCGAAGCACGAACATTTACTTGTCTCTTCTTAAAAGAATGACTACTTATTGACATTAGTAGTAGTTCCTTCGACCTAAACACATGGTTCGTTGCACAAATCTGAGAAGTTAGACGTACTAGAACTTCAAAAACAATTAAATGCTAAGCTGTCCATGATAAAGAACTGCTGGAATCTACTAATCACAATCCATTTCGCCTGGTTTACAGCATTGCTGCACCACAGCCTTCGGAAAGTGTGTATAGCGGAATTGGACTTCAGTAACCTCCAGCAGGGGGAGTTTCGTACGCTGGAGGAGATGGACCCATTTGCGATGGTGAAGCATATGCCGGAGGAGATTCATACCCTGGAGTTGGATCATACTCTGTCGGAGCTGGAGACGTGATGGGAGAGCTGTAAGACTCTGGCTCAGAGGGAGCTGCGTAAGGCTCAGGAACAAGAGGATCACTCTCAGGAGGCGGGGCGCAATTTGCATTGAAGTGGTCGATGAGCTTGCCAATGGTGAGCAACGCCCTCCCTTCCGCCGGTGCCACCACGCCACAGCACAGCACCGCTGCCAACACCAACACAGCTACGGAGGTCATCTGCAGCGGCATCTTCATCTTGCGATCGATGATCCAGAAACCTCACTCTAGCTCGAATGGCAATGACTGCAGGAAGTCTTGGGGCTGGAAAATGCTGCAAGCGGTTGAGATGTAATGCGACGCGGTGCCGGAGCTTACATAGCCGGCTGCTGTCGCTTCCGCATCGCATCAGGGTGGTTGTGCGGGTGGGTAAACATGAATGCCAAGTTTAGTATCTCTCACCTGCTCCGCAACTAATTTGGGCAACTCCTTAATCTCACCGACACAGTCATTCAATGTGCAGATATGTGGTTGACCCACTTCGCATCGCAGGTTGGTTCGAATCTGTACACATTCGTCACCAACAACAAGAATCCGGCGAAAGGTAGTGCGTGGCATTGTGATGGCCCCTCCTTAGAGCCTCGGCTGAACAAGCTCGCAGCCAGATGCCAGCTTCTTCAGGCACAGTTGTGATCAGGACCAAGCACAATTGCAGCGATTGCATTCCAAGAATGAGGCACAGTGCACAAATTCAGACATGATTTTTGGGCGGAGTTCCCGAGGCGCCGCGGCCTAGAAAAACGAAAAGCTTTGGCGTGTGGGGTCTCAATCAGACACAGACATGAAAATTCGAATGAAATGGAGAGAGAGGGATGCTTCTGAAGCACTAATGCTGTTTAATTTTTTACTAGATTCTGGTCTTGTTGGTACAGGATTCAATTACATATTTTAGGGTTGTTTGTTAAGATAGACTATCACATTATGAACTCTTCATGAGTTGAGAGAATAGCATCATGGAAAAGAAAATGTTTTTGCTGTATGAAATGGAGATGACTTTACATTCACTGCGAGTAAAAACCGGTTTGATTGAACATCCACCCCCACTGTAAAAAATCTGAAGGAAATTCGAATGATCGATTAATAGATTGATATTGACAAGTATAGTTGCACGTGTGAAAAAAAATCATAATTTTATATAGATTTTTTACATATTAATAGTGTAACAGAAAGCCTTGGAAATCAAATTCTATTATCTGATAATTGACAATTTAGAAGCGTCTTTAAGCTACATATGTGTATACGCAGACATGCATGTATATATATATATATATATATATATGTTAATAAAATAAATTATACATACATCTAAATTTTGAATTAAATCTTATTTGTCACAAAAAAACCATGGTGTTATTAGGATTCTTTTATTTATCTTTTTATCTTTTTCTGCAATTAATTCAGCAAAAAGTTTAAATCCTTTGGCATAAGTTTGAAAAGTTTTGGCATAAGATCTTTGAAAACTGTAACCAATGCCTTCTACTATGATGCTTGGCCATTATATTAGTTCTAAAAACAATCTCTCATGACATGATTTCCAGGTGTGAATAAACAAAAGAATAAAGTTTTCTTTTTTGAACTACCTGTTGGAAAGCATGAAATATTACTTTCAAATCTCAACACTGCCAATCTGAATTTTAAACATAAGAAAGATACTCGAAACGAATATACGAAAATACAATGTAGTGTACATACAGCAATTACTCAAGAAAGAACTCCGCAGTTTCATTGCACATTCAGTTGTATATTCTCCAGTCACACCAAGTCTGCACACCAGAGAGGCACCATATTCTGAGGTTTTCAAGGACATTTTCTGAGGTAAAGACATATGCCATTGACTGCATGTCCACCTTTTTCCTCAAACTACGAACACAAAACACATTTCTCAATAATAATAATCACAAGAAAAAAAAAAAAAAAAAAAAAAAAAAAAACTCTTCAGATTATTTTTATACCTTTAACACAATTTCAGCAGTTCAAAATGTGGAAGATTATTTGAGGAGGTGGGGGGGGGGGGTTCAACCCCTTTCACCTTCCATGATTTATAACTAAAAAGTAAGAAAAAAGGTTATGTTTTAGAAAGCTTGAAGTGATAGCAAAGCCTGTGAACACACTTTGTGCTCTTTTATTATCAAAATAAAGTGAAATACAGAAACTAGCATCAGATGATTAACACAAAAAATAGGATTTAGGGTTAATGTGGGGGTTTAGGGAAGGTTCTCAGAAAGCACAGCTCACTATACCTGCCCAAGTGAGTTTTTTCAATGGCACCTTCACAATAAAAAGCACCTGGCTGCGGTGAAAGTGGGCCCCACCAGCCACGGAGCAATGCAGGCAACTTCGAATGTCGGTCACCGTGACGTCACAACCTCGGAGGGTGTAGGCTCACACTTGGACGACTTTGGGGGACGGGGGCCACTACTGGCCGCGGAGAGACTCTTACTACTTACCATTTTACTTCCTGCTTGGCTCTCTCTCTCTCACTCCCCGTTTTACCTGTTCACAGCTCCAGCAGCTCCTCTGTTGTTGCGGCTGTGGAGTTTTCCTTTGTCTTGGCTCCTCCTCCTCGCAGCGTTGCCTAAGCGAAGCACACAACAACGCAGCAGCAGTAGCAGCTCTCATGCTCATCGCTCCTGCATCGTGCGTTGTCTTTAGTTTTACTTGTTCAGTTAAAATTTGTGTGAGTGATATTCTGTTTCTTTAGCTTCTTTTCCGGTATCCTCTGCATTTAGCAGTATTGGTGGAATCGGAGGATCAATGAATTGAGTTGAAAATGAGCTCTCAGGGCGCGTTGAAGCAGGATGAGGGCGAGCGGTGGACGGGGAATGGTTGGAGTCATTGGAGTCACGTGTTGAAACCGAGAGAGGATTCGAGCTTTGTGCAGGATGTGGATGGAGTTGCGTTGAGAAGTGGTCGAGCGCGTGGAGGAGGTGGAGATGGTGCTGGTCACTTTGGAGAACATGTTTCTTCGTTGACGTTGAGCACTGGCAGCTGGACTGATTTTGGTGCCGACTCGACTTTGTTTTCACCTTCGGACTCGTTTTCTCCTTCGTCTCAGCAGCTGCTGCAGCAATCGTCTTCGCTGTATTGGCAGAACCTGCTCGGTGGCCAGCCTAACTCGAGGTGGCTGACGCGCTGGCCGTCGCCTAGATTCGCGACGTTTGGAGGTGAGCCTGGAACTGAGCAGGCCGGATCGTTGGACACTTTTTCTCTTGCGGGACACGAAGTGAAGCGCAGCGACGATGTGCAGCTTGATGTGGCTGTAGCTTACGAAATCAATGCGACTAACGGTGTATTAAGCGGGATTGAAGTGGATCGTTCGCCTGAGGTGGAAATAGAAAGAAATAGTAATGTGAATCTCGAAAGGGACAACTGGAAAACACTTGGCGGTATGATACTGGCTCTTCCGCTTCCATTGTGATATGTTTTGTTTTGTAATCACACACTAAAAAGATGTCATAATATTCCTTATTATGTAGATCATTTCGAAAACAAATAGTACCGAGTTCATTCGCAAGCTCTTCGCAAGGCACTTCTAGAATTTTCGAGAGGAATGGCTCTTGTCTATGGTTGCGCCCGCTGGAAGCGCAAAGTTCGAAGTCCATTAACAAATTCGTACTGTTCTCTAATTTAACCGTGAATGAAACCCGATCAGATTGAGCTTACTTATTGTTCATTAAATCACGGACTATGGCTTCTGCATCATGAAAACTACTGTTAACAGTGATGTTTTTAAAGAGGTATTCAATAACACTTGAAATATGTAAAGTTGCGAAGGCAGAACAGTTGACCAGTAGGTGGCCGTTAAACTACACTGCGACGTAAAAGTTAAAAAGTAAAGAATTTTACGCACAAATTCGCATATTATCAATAAATGACAATGTAGAACTGCAGTTAACAGTGATGGTTTCTAAATTGCAGATTCAATGTTTGGAAATGTTAAGCAAGAGGAGTTTTGGAATACTAAAGAAACTGGACATTTACTAGAAGATGACATCAAGGTGAGTGATGAAATTTCGACTCAAAGAATATTAAGTACATTTACTTTTATTCACTGAGCACACAACAATGAATGCAAGCTGAGAAGGTGCATGTTGTCGTGTTCAGTCACAAATCAGACTCAGCCGAAATCCTGAGGAGGTCATAAACTTCGAGCCTTCACCAACGTCTTCCGATTCCAACCCTGACAGCGAGGAGTCGAACAAACGAAAGAAACAATTTTCAAACAGGAAACGAAAAAGACCAGGTCAAGATGCCGATGGGAATGTTACGTGGACAGATGAATCTGTTACGCTCCTTTTCGAGACGAACGATACCATACATCGACGCTTGTGCACGGAGAGTAAAGGCCAAGTCAAGTATGAGAAGAAATGGATACCCATACTGAGAGCCATGCAGGCCAGGTTTGGAAACCAGTTTACCAAGAAACAGTGCCAGAGCTAGTATTGGAGCGTCAGGCGTGAATGTACAGAATATAGGTACTCCAACGTTCTTTACGAAGTTTTGCAGTGGTGTCCTGTAATCCGTGCTTGTACTCAATACAATCTTCATTTTAGATACAACCTTCGTGAACTATAATGTTGCTGTCGTGTATAAATCTCTTATGACTGCAAAAGACGCACGAGGCTGTTAACAGAAATCATTGATTAGTATTGTTTGAATGAGTGGTGTTCTGTCCGTTCAAGTTCTAATGCGAACCTAGGGTGATCTATTTTATGCAGGATCATGTCTGTCAAGGCTGCAGCAACTGATCCGTCGTGGAACCCAAGCATTGCTGGTAGAGAACTTCTTAAACCTAAGTTTTACGATGTATGGCTTGCAGTCTCGGGCCAGTACCAATCTGCAGTGGCGAAACCAAATAAATCTTCTGCCAAAGGGGACGAAGGTTCACGTGAGTTGCGTAAAAGCGAGCTCTCACATTTCCATAGCAAAAATGGGTACTCCATGAAGCAAGACTCGGGTACAGCAATTAAGATGATGTACCGCTTGATGCTAGACCAGATTCAGGTGAGTATTTGTACACTGCATAAGTTATTTCGTCTTCATTTTGATTCATTTCAGGCTCAACATAACTCCCTTTACTGATTACTTAAGTGGTATACGTTAGTCGATGCTGCTGACCAAAGCTGAAAATAAACATATTTTTATTTCTCCTTTTCAGTAGTATGTGTGAGAAAGTGCATGTCTATTAAGTAAAGAAAGGTACATGCGTGGCTTCAGGCATCAGAGATAAGGGAGGAGGCAATGAAATACCGTGCGGAGAGAATGATGGAATGTTTGACAGAGCACATGGAGCATGTGGAAACTAGAGTGGGCATCCTAGACGCAGGTCGAGATTCGCAACAATTACTCGAACGAGTTAATCTAAAGCTTGAGAAAGTTTTGGATGGATTTGTCACTTTGAATCAAAATCTGTCCTTGCTGTATTGATAATCAGTGTCAAGACCTCGGCCGGCACATGTGTATCAGTCCTCATAGCTTATTCCTAGCTTTAAAATCTTCTCGCAAAATGCAAATACAAATTCCTCTTATTAGCCTTTCAATGCGCGATAAATAATACTACATGAAGCCTTGATTCATTATGATGGGCTTGTGGAAGATCGGTGAAAGATCGGTGGAAGATCGGTGGAAGATCGATACACAACTTCAGGAATTATTTTACGGTGATTGGAATTCAGAGTACACGAGGTGTCATGTAGTGTTTGTATTCATCTACTTTTACATGAGTTACAATTCAGGTATTCCTTGAATGTGAATGTCACTCTCCATGTTTGTTGAATTAGATTTTTTCCAAATTAATATGAGCTACTGGTGGAATATTAACTGTCTATACACTTCATAAGAACATTGAGGAACCTTTCTTCCGAAATAATGGAATAAGGAGTTAACATGAAAGCTATCAAAAGAGACTTATAGTATTTTAATTAGTTATTATGTGATTTTATTGGTTGCTGTAAATTTTATAGGTTTTATCCAAAACTAATTCATATTTTTTAATATAAAATATTTTAAATGATTTTTTTGAAAGTAAAAATTTATTTATTTATTTATTATTCTTAAAATTAATTTTTTAAAACTTAAATTGTTTATTTAACTATTCTTTTACTTGAATTTACTTTTATGTTAAAAATTGTAAAAATATATACATATATATTTAAAATATTAATATTATATAATTTATTTAAGTTTTTTGTTATTAAAAAATAACATAATATATTATATTTTTTATTATAATAAATTATATAAAAAAAGAAACAAGAGAACCTTAAAAAACTCTAAATTATTATAAAACTATAGCTTCCAATTAAAATAAATGTTATATAAAAGACACTAAGGTATTTATAATTTTATGAAAATTTAATCAAATTATTTTTATATATAATCTGCACTATGAATCAAGTTTTTAAAGTAGACAATAAAGTTTTACATACAATTTTAATTTCCAAACAAATTTCAATGCATTTGTGAATAAGTTGCTATCATATCCTTGTTTACTTTTATTTAATTAGATTTAGTTCTTCTTTAAGAGTATCATAATACCTTGATAGTAATACTTGATAATTTCTTGATGCCGATTTGGTCTGGTTTATAGCCTTTTTTTTCAATAGAAGATTGATAAACTTTGATTACAATTGTATAATTATATAATAGAAACACTTAGCTATAGTCTTTAGTATTTACACGTCTTCTATTATTTATTATTAAGAAAAAAATTTCTTATATATTCTGCAACTTTTAATTATACAATAAACCAATTTGACTTTAATTGTAGATTAAAAAGATATATGTTTCTTTGAGAATAATTCAAGTGTACAATTTCAATAACATATATTTACTATTTTTTAAAAACTAGAAAAATTTACAATTTTGGAAGATTTTAAATGTTCAAGAAATATTGGTAATAATATTTTTATTGATATTTTTATTTAAACGTAATTTATTTTTGAAGTTAATTGTAAATTCGTTCAAATACTACTTAAGTTTTTTCTTGAATGTGAATGGTACAATTATAAGGAGAATTTTCAACTAAAATATCTATTACTTTTTTCAAAATTCTTGGAAGACTACCATTGTTTAAGACACAATTAGAAGCTTTACCTAAAGTGTAGCTAAGTGTGGCATTAATTACAAAAACAATATGAATTATTAGAAACTTATATTCAAACCTATATTCTAATAATTAGAAGCTTTAGTTTCTTGATTAATAATTACATATATATTTTTATTTTTTTTCTTAAGTATTTTTAGAAAAATTAAATATTAAAAAATTATCAATATATTTAAATATAATTATTTTTTAACCGTAATAAGACTAAAATGATAAGACTAATTTATAATTTAATAGTATTAAGTACTATAATTATTTTTTGAACTTGAATAATTATTTTTGATAATATAGACTTATATATTATATTTTCAAAAGAATAAATTTATTGATCTATAAATTTCTTGTAAAATATTAAAATTTATATTTAAGATTTATTATTATATATAAGTACTATAAGATCATAGCAAGGAAATTATATAAAAAAAGATTTGATAATAGATGGAATTTGATAACTTCCACCAATGACTCTATCTTCACCAACTTTTATCATTTTCAATATATTATAGATTTTTAAAATTTTTATCAATTATTCATATATTAAAATTTTATTTTTTAATTAATTTTTTATTAATTCTTTATTTTTTATTAATTCTTTATATAATATGTAACTCTAAACCTAGAGCTTCAATTTTAATATGCAAGGGAGTAAAGAAGTGCCCAAGTATGTCAATAAACATTGATATAAGAGGGCCAATATTTCTATGATGGTTGGGAGCAAGATGATCTAAGTAATTGTCACATCATCTTTGAATTTCTTGACAATGCACATTAGTCTCTTTACAATAGAGTATTAGATAGAAGTGAGAATAGAGTAATATTAAAAAAAAATAATGATAGTGGATATTAGAAGAAAAAAAGAGTGTATGAAGATTGTATTGGAGGAGCTTGCTACTTTATTAGAGAATATGGTGCAAATTGATGTCACCATGTACAATCCATTACATAAGCTTAGAACATATGTTATATAGATTTAAGTCATTTATATGTATAATATATTTATGAATTAGTCTAAATATGGCATTTTATAACCAAAAAATTCACTTATATTTTATAAAATTTATCTATTTTATAATCGTAGAATAAAAAAAATTATATACATTTTATTTTATTTTTGATTTTTGATTTTTTTTTACATATTATGTAAAGGATGTTTTTGTAATTTTGAAAATTTCATGTCTCTTAAACTATAGACTTGTAAAATTTTTTATACATACCATTAAGATCAAAAGCATAAATAGTAGAGAAATAAGTCAACTCAAAATTTAAAAAATATGAAAAAAAAAAAAAAAAAAAAAATTGTCAATACAAAAAATCTCTAAGTCAAAGGTCTTATATCTATTAACTAAAAAATTTGTAGAGCATTCTTAGTCCACCATTAAATTTGTAGACTTGTAAAGAAGAGAGTATGTCAAACCAAAACTCACAAAATTATATCTATTTTTAAAATCAATTCAAATTTAAAATAGACAAAAATTCCAATATCTACAAATTTATATACCTTTGGAACTACTCTATTATACGATTGGAATGGAAAATCCACAAATATATCCACGAGTGCTTTTAAAAATCTAAAAAATAATTTCTATAATAAAAATCAAAATTGTAAATCCCAAGAAAAAATTGCTATATCTTACAAACTAAGAACTTGTAGAGAAAGTTATTTAAACCATTGAAATTATAGATAGAAAATAGAGAGAAAATAGGTCAAATCGAAATCTAAAAATGAAAGAATAAAAAAATCAAGTATAACCATGAAATCATAAACTATAAATTGTAAACATGGTTATATGGTTTTAAGTCATTTTTACATAAAGTATATTCAAAAAGTAGTGTAAATATAATACTTTGCAACCAATAAGCTACTTATTTTATAGTCGTGGTATTAAGAAGTCTATATATATATATATATATATATATATATTTATTATTATTTTATATAAAAGATAATATTATAAGTTTAAAAACTTCAGATCTTCTAAAATATAGGCTTTTTAAAGATTTTAAACATATTATTCAGATCAAAAGCAAAAACAATAGATTGATGTGTCAACTCAAAATTTCAAAAAGACAAAGCAAAATGAAAGTTTACAAGAAAAGTACTTAGTCAAAAGCCCTATGTTTATAAATTTTTGGATCCAAATCTTCTTCTTTTTTATAGTTTTAATTATTTTATTTATTTGTATTTAAGATAATATTTATTAAAAATTATTCAATAGTTTTAAATTTATAGACTTTTTTATTTTTTATTTTTTTAGTTTTTTTATTGAGTTTGTTTTTTCTCTTAAAATCACTATAATCAAATAATTGTTCATCTAAAAACATAATAATATTGGTTAATTTTTTTTCATTATTATTTCTATTTCATTAAAAGACTTTCTAAATATATTATAATTCTTTTAAAAAATTAATATTTATTATACTAATCAACTTATAATTCTAAAATCTTGTTTAATATTTTAGATCCAATAGATAATATATAAATTTAGTTTGTATTTGAATTTTATATATATATTTTTTAAAATTTTTTTTATTCATAAGATTATAGTCTATGTTAGAATTAGTATGTCAGAATTAGAATTAAAAGTAAAAAAATAAAAAATTATGGTTTTTTAGTTTTATTTTTATTTTATATAAATAAATAAAAATGAATTTTTAAATCTTAAAAATAATTTATTTATTCCAAATTTTTAATAAATACAAATATCATTTGACAATCAATCAATTAAGACATATCATTATTTAGTTATTTTAGTGTAAAAATTAGAATTATTCACTATGTAAATAGATTTATATCAATAATTAAAGATTATATTTTTATTTTTTATTTTTAAATCTAGTTATTTTGATATCTTTTAATTTTTACATTAGACAAGAAAAGTTTCAATTGATTTGTACTAGTTCTTGATGCATAATTAAGTATCAAATATTAAAGTATAGTCTTATCAATAGATATAATTTTATAGCTTTTGATAAGTTTATTATACTTTGATATTGAATGTGTTAAAAATAGATTTTATTATACCATCATTGGAAACTAATTTGAATCTATATATAGAAGAGAAAAAATAAATGTTTAAATTTTTTAATTGTAGCAATTATAAATATTCAAATGTTTTGTAATATAAAAATAAGAATAAAATTCTAAATTTTACAAATATAAAGCCAATAGAAGAAGTGCAATTTACAAAAGATATAACATTCAAATAAGACATAGAATTTTAAATAAAATATCTACTAATTATATAATATGATGTAATATAATTTATTAGTATATCAAATCAATACTTGGCTCAATTAGTTTATTTAATATCATTAAATTCTTTCAATTATATACAAAAATTCTATTAACTATAGATCTATAATTATATACATGTTTTTTTTTTTTTAATTGCAAATAGAATTGTACAATAAGATAAGAAGAAAAAATTAATTATTATATATTGTAGTAAAAAATAAAAATTTATTATACAAAATTATTATAATAATAAATAAATAAATAAAGACTTTAGTAATTTAATGAAACATGTAGAATGTCTTCAAAAAAGTGAAACAATAATTAAGTATACTGATTAAAGGTTTATATTGTTTGGAAAGTATTTCATACACTATTTATAACCAATAAACATCAATTTGCAATAATGTTTTATTTTTAAGGAGTTTGTAATTTAATTAATATACTAAAATAATTATTTAATACAACATATGATGACAAAGGTTTTAATAAAGATTTTTAGTAAAGATTAATATAAGATTTTTTTTAAATTCTTGATTTCAATTTTTTTTGCAAATTTACAAGTACAGAATATTAAAATTATGATTCATTGTTCCTAAAAAATAATTTACTTTGCAAAGTTTTCAAACAAGTAGTTCTATGATGGCATTTATAGATGGGATTGTATAAATCCCTAATTATTTTACATGTAAATTTGGCAGTATAAACTCCTTGCAAATTATCAGCCGAAAAGGCACATGATTTGTTCACCTAAATTTAATGACACATTGTGGTTTCATGTTTCTTTGTAAATTAACTGAGATCAATTAACTGAGATTTGTAACAAAAATATTTTTGGTTGTCAGATGATTTGGAGTGAAAGCCGTTTGCTAGACTGGATACGAAAACCTCAGTGTCTGAACAAAAGTACCCAGCTGCTCTCAACTGTGCAAGCTGATTTCAATAGGTTGGACTCCACTTTGACTTCCTCGGTCTTCCTCACCAAAACATCCAACTATATTTCGACAAGAATAAGTAAAATATTTGTGGAAGGGGGTGTCTACTTTGACATCAACATGCATAGTTAGATGGAGACAAAGCTGGACCCTGGCGATGAATTGCTGTCCGATACCATTGTGGAAGAGCTCAGAAGTGGGACAGCAACCCGCAAAAGCAGACCATATGTGCTGCATGGATAGCCGAGCAAAAACTTGTCGTTGATGTTGGGCACTCCAAATTCTGGCAGTGCTATTATCAGTGATACACACAGCAGCATTTCTAAGCTTCTCAGCACACACCACAAGAGTAATATGATACATAGGTCCTAAACGTGTCAGAATTTTCGAATAGGCGTCACTGGTCATTTGGCAAGGATGAGAGATCCTGCTGGATTTAGCCACGAGCAGGAACAGAAAGCCGGAACGTCCTGGGAGCTTGGACTACAAATGGGTGAATCAAGAGATCTTTCACCGTAGGTCTATCCTCTGGACGAGTACGCAAACATTGGGTAACAAAGTCTTTTGCAAGATCGCTAAGATGCTCAGGAATGGGTGGCAACTCTCCCTTCGTCACCTTGAAAAAGAACGCATACTGCGAAAGCACACTTCATTCAATGAGTACATCTGATTCAATCTTTGCATCACCTTGTTTAGCATACTAACACCAAAGCTGTGAAGGTACAGCTGGAATTCAACAATATTCACGGTCCGCTCTAGCATTTGTCAGATAAGCAGAAATCAGGACTACTTAGGTTTCACTCACCCCTTGCAGATCACTCCATGGGGGTTTGCCTTCTGCCATTTCAAGCACAGTGCAGCCAAGACTCCAGATATCTACTGCCAGCCCAGATGGAGGTTTGTTTGGCCCTGGTGACAATATCTGAAAACCGTCTCTAATGTCAAGTTGAGAATAGACTCCAACGCTCAGTATAGAATGAGTCGCATGTACAATATGACACGAAGTAACGTAATAGAAACATTTCTTAGGGGATAATTACCTCAGGAGCCATGTAATATGGAGAACCCTTCACTGATGTAGCTAGCGAATCCTTCATCTGAAAACGACGGTACCATGCAAGAACACTGCATCAGTGCTTCTATCGGTTGGATATTATCGTGGGTCATCCACCACACTACATGCTCAAGTACACTGGTTATATACTGAAAGGAAAGTGTGATACATTCTGATTCGATAGAAACCAGCATACATTTCTAGCTATGGGCAACATACCACTCTCTTTATAGCGCATGGAAGTTGAAAAATGAAAAGTAAGAAGAATAACCTGTTTAGCTAAACCGAAATCAGCAAGTTTCACTTGACCATCAGAATCTACGAGTATGTTAGCGCATTTGATATCCCTACGCACAAAAAATAAAATCAAGTTCCAAAACATCACGGACTGTAACTGAAAGTGCACCAACTCACTTACAGAAAGAAAACATCACGCTCATCTACAAAACCGACTAGCGTTGGCTCTCAAGTGACACACAAATGGAATCATTGTAGCAGAAGACATCGTACTCATTCATTGCAAGATAGACATTTGTATTTTCCGACGGAGGGAAGCTTGTTTCAAAAGCTCTGTTTCTGTAGTAGCTAAAAAATCAAGATCACTTACGAAAAGAACGACGATAAAAGATACAAAAATAGAAATAAAATCTACCACAGGTTCCTGCCGGGTCACTGAACGAAGGTGCTGCAAATGAGCCATTGAATGCGAGATGGTCCATTTTCCGGGTTACAAATGCATGCCAGCGATTCCTAAAACGCTCAAGAGCTTTGCCAGAAGCACACCAGACCATTCACGACACAGAAAGCGCTCAACTACATCAAACACACGTACATTACACCATATTTTCGCATCCTACACCGACCACAGATCACCCACATAGCAAACTTGGAAGTGTTTCACCTGTGGACTGTGTTCTTGGAATGCAAATACTCCAACCCTGTCAGGATCTGACGGGTGTACGAACTGATCAGTGATTCGTCGAAGACTTGGAACTTCTGCATGATAGATAGATTGGAGAGACCCCATTTTCACAAGTTCCAGAAATATGCAGATGCTCCCATTCTCCTGAAATGGTCACCACAATGACGATCAGCTGGTGAGCGGGGCAAACATCCGAGGAAATGATTGCTCCTAACCTTGAGTCCGTGGACGAATTCATGCATTCACTTCACACCAACTCCACACAACACGTCCGTGGAAAGCGAAAAACAAATGCAGCCGTTTCCAATCTCAATCTCGACATCCGAGGCAAGTTGAGAGCTCTGCACCGTCGTGGTGCCGTAGTACTGGACGATGTTGGGATGTCTCAGTTTACTCATCACGGCCACCTCCTGCAAAGAGCCACAGAACTCAACATCGGTTCAACGAAGAGGGCCGTAACCATATCCCACACGCTTTTCAGTAGAGAACAGTTTCATGGGCACATCTGCAACTGGTGATTGATCAACGCAATCGATTCCCAGGCTGCGCACCTGGTGTTATCTCAGGAGGGTTATTGTCACTGCCGCTGACTTTGACAGCGAAGAATGTGCCATCGTCCCTGGTGTGCAATCATATGCGACTTCAGTGTCAATGCCCCTTGCAAGACCAGACATTCCAAAGACCAGACACAGGCGAAATCTGTTCAAGTAGAGGGAAACTTACAGATTCCACCCTTCGTAGACGGAACCGAACGAGCCACTGCCGATTTGGGCACCCCTCTTCCACCTCTGAGGTTGCTGTGGCGCTGGGTGAAGTGAGCGGCACAGACGGGGAGGATTGCCAATCGAAACTCGATGCGGAGAGGCAGAAAAGGTGGATCGTGCTTGGGAATGAAGAATGTCCGGAACGTCGAGATTGTTGGAATTCACCACTGGATTAAGCTTGAGCGTGCGAGGTGAGGATGGCGGAGTGAGCCTGTGCAGATACGATGGGGATGATGGTGCCGATGGGTGCATTGTGTGATGTTGGCGGGGTCAACCCGGACGTGCGAGGAGGTGGTTCTGCATGAAGTTTTCGTGGTAACAGTGAACTTCGTATAGAAGTCAACTCCTGGAATGTTGTTGCAGACTTTGATGAGTATATTTGAGATTTTTTGCCAGATGAATTTGAGGTTTGTGTGCACGACGAGGGCTTCGGCGGCGATGGAAGCTTGCATGGCTTGGGAGAACCTTCATGACGAGGGCCGCGAGACTTTCCATGGCTGCTCCCAGAATGGCTTCGCGGGCTTCTCTGAGGATTCGAGCGCATCGAAACATCAGAAGAGCAAGGTTTTCCGGTGCTTAAATTATCAGCCGTTTCTGAAGTGCTCGGACTCAACGGAAGGGTGGATGGGGAGCACTCAGTTTCGTCATCGCAGTCGTAATAGTTGCGACACGTACTCAGGTCCGACGTGGGATACTCTGCAAATTGGAAAGCAGAATGGTTAGGTTTAACTGAAGTTCGTAAATGGAAGAAAAATTATCTTTAGGGGTTGAATCTTCACATGCTCAGGTAGTTACTTAAAACTGGCACGTGAACTCTGACCTAGAGCTCGGATGCCGTCTGCGATGGTACGATTTGCTGGGCTGCCGGTCGGGTTCGACCTTGGACTACCCGTTTTGTTTGACAAGGAGGGTGTGTGGACATGAGCAGGGAGTAGATCTCTGTATGGTGATCCGATAGTTCTTCGATTGAATAAGTCTGAATCTGACGGCTGACATGAGCAACTCTGCAAAGCCTTGTTCTTCGTATCCAAGTAAGACACCGCGTTCTTCACCATTTTCGGGCTGAGCAGAACATCATTCGCTGATGCATCTATTTCGGCAGGAGACTGTGTTCTCGAAGGACGAAATTCGCTTCGAATAGTAGGTTGTTTCAGTGGGGGCATTGTGTGCAGCGGCGGCACAGTAATGTCAACAGGAAGTGAATAGCCCTCCTGTTTAATGCTGGTGCCGACTCGAGGTCGTAGCGTTGCCTGTGGAGAAAACATCTCATCACAATCCGCATTCTTCTTCGTTCTCTTGAAGTTCAACGACAGGAAAAACTTCATCTGGCGAACAAGAACCGCGTGTTAGTCCTTGCAACAGGCTCATCAACATACCAATGGTGGTACATGCGGGACGAAGATCATCTCATTTTAACGTAAGTAGTTTGCCAACTCAAATTTTCGACTATGGCATAGAGTCTGAGATATTACCGGCGAATGCGAAAAATCGACCACAATTTTGAGAATACTTCTAACACATGTGGCGCGATAGGTACTAAAACTGCATGGTTTGCTCTTCTGCGGATAACAGCAGTCGTACACCACACTCATCATCTCTACAATCTCAAGGAGCATCAGTGTTGAAATATCACACTGATCAAGGTAGAATAGACGTGATATGATGCATATTGCTTTTTCTTGAAACTTAAATGAGTGCAACAATACAATTGAGTAAAACATAACAAAAAAATCATAATTGTAAATAATAACAATTTATTACACTAAATCAAAGTTATCATCATTGTAATCATCATATCTGCGAACAAAACTAGCTTCCTAAAACTCAATCAGTGCAAGATAAAATGCACAAACAAGACTTCAAAGTGCAGCAGTGATTGAAATAACTGTTACAGTGGTACACCACCAATTTCTCTTCACTTCACCAATTTACCCGTAACCAGTCTAACAAAAGACTCAAGAGCAATCAAAAACAGAACTGCGACCATCAACACATCCAGGAGATGCAACAAACCTTATATATACAGAAGCAGAGCTATATCATGCTTCAATACCGACAATTCCTCCGACATAAGTCCAACTGCCTCCTCAAAGTCGCTACTCCTTCACCGTTCCCACTCCTTTGTTGTCATAACCAGCCAAACAACGGAAACTCCGCTGCCGAGATTGATCTCTGAAGCTCCACCAACATGATGAACACTGTCCAGAATCATATAGAGAAGTCGCCGCTGGCGTACGTCCAAGCCCGAGGTCAAATTTAGCTAAAACAACCCCAAAAAAAAAAAAAAAAAAAAAAAAAATCAAACACCGCACACGCTCCTCGTTCACCACTCTCCCACGCTCCTCAACGAATCGTGGCTCCTACAATGACTGTGTCTAACGTTCCAAACACCGTCTCAACACTGCGACGAAACGAAAATATGATGATTCAGCGCAAACCACGGCCCACGAGCTGCGACGAAGCTGCTCTAAATTCCACGCCACGACAAGAGAATTGGCAATTGGTTTGTCTCAAGGGGAAAGAGGGAAGGGGACACTCCATTAATGGTGTAATAGAGGCCATGAATTCCAAACCGGCCAAACCCTCCCGATGCCGACTTGTGCAGGACTAGATGTCTGAGGAGTATCCCCTTCCCCCACAAAGTCTGTTGTCGAGTCTCTGTCTCTCATTTCCCCGAAGTCTCCAACTTCCAAGACTTCGCCTATGGTGCTTGCGCTACAAGCCTCTCTTCTCTCTTCTCTCTCTCTCTCTCCAACCCTGTGCTCAATGGAATGACGCCACGTGGATAGAGTCAAATCTTTTTGCATGACTTGTGTAGGTAACTAACTGCCTGCCCTTTTAAGTTGTTTTATGTGCCTCATGCCCGTTAAACCTTATTTGTGTGTTGTGACGATTATTGATGAGATTGATTGTATAAGTTGGATCCTTTATTGACTAGTAGGATTTATGATGTAATTTATTTGATGAATTTGTAGAATGTTTCTTTGTAACTGATTTTGTATTAATATGAATATAGAAAAAAATTATATGCATTGGTTTGATTTGTATTTGCTTGGAAAATTGATAAAATTAACTAGTAGTGGTTATTTTGTTATCTTCATTAAAATAGTTAAATATTATTTTATGTTATTTTTATTTGTGTGAGAAAAAATACATTATTATTATTTTTTATTTTTTTACGTTAAGATGTATTATCTTTTTAAATTATAAATTCAATACTAAAAATTATACATATATATATATATATATATAAAGAAACTATTATTTTTATTTATAAATAAATAATTTAATACAAAAAGGCTCAAAGTAAAAAGAATTAAAAATCTAAAATTAAGAAAACATTAAATCAATCCTACTATTATCAAATTCAATAGAAAGTATATTATTATCCAATGATAACAATACCTATGTAAATATTAAATTAAAAATTAGATTGACAAAGTATAATATATCATTAGTTTTGCAATTGGATTAATCATAGATACTTAATTTATTAAAAATATTTTATTAAAGGTGTTATATTAATACCTTTTGTACTATTTGCCACAATGTTGTTGGCAATGGTAGCAATACTTAATAGAATTAAATGTAATCTAGATACATCTTGCAACACCACATCTTGCAATGCATCTAATATTTGAATCTTTATTCTGAGTTGTAGTAATATTGTCAAGGTTATATAGTAAAAAATTGAGACGTATAAACTCCAAAAGAAGAAATAATTTTCAGTACTAATAATGAGCTTTTTGAACCACAATAAAGAAGATGGCAATAGTTTGTGTGTTGCAAATGCATTGTAATTCTTTAACAAAAATCTTATATGGATAAACTACACAACAAATAGGTGATGTATAGACTCGTAGTTTCACTAGGTTATATGATCTTCACCACTTGTCTTAGCTTTAGATAATAGTATCCTTAAAGAGGATCATGATCTTGCATTCAATAGAGTAGCAAAAGTAATTCAATGCTTTTTCAAATCTGAGAGAGAGAAAAAAAAAAAAATAAATAAATAAAAAATAAAAAATAAAAGTACAAAAATAAGTATGTATATGAGTTTCTTTTACTATACAATGCTCTAACAAAGTCTTCATTTCTTTAGAAGTGAACATCCTATGAAATAGGGTGTTTATATTGTAATTATTGTAGTGGTTGGGTATCTCGACAATAGTACCAAATTTGAAGATTAATTGGCAAGACTCTTGAAATCATTTAAGCACATGCACTTTCTTCCTACTATCACACAACTTTTTTCTATTATAGGCAAGAAATACAATTATCTTCTAAAGATAAATCAAAATTATATGTTCAAATTTATCCCTAAAAAATTGTAGATATTGCTTGACATATTCAAATGGTTAAAATTGATATATATGAATTATTGAGTGATGTTGAGAGCTTGTTAAGATTAGTATTTGGAAGGTTATACATTTCAATTGAAATGATCTACAAGTCAAGGGAAGTTAGAGCAATTCTTTTAGAGTTGACTATATACAAAGTCTTGGAAGAGTTGGCTTTGATAGTCCAAGTCTAATTGATGAGATCACAATTTATTTATTTATTTATTTATTTTAAAGGTAAAAATAATATCTTTATTTACATTGGAAACACATCCATTAGATCCAAAGCTCTCATAATGTTAAAGACAAGAAGTCAATGAAGATAAATAAATAAGTGATTTTTTTTATAAAAGATGATAAAATATAAATAAGTAAATATGTATATTTAAAAAGAAACTAAAATGGCTATTATCAAAAGACTAGAAATCTAAAGATCCTTGAAATTAAACTAAAACCAAACAAGAAGTTGATAAGAGTGAAGAAGGCTTCACTCTTGCATCTACATACAATATCTAAAATAGTGATATTATATAGGATCTACGACATATGTCCAATTTGAAAAAAATATATATTTCAATTTACAAGGCAAGTTTCTTATATGTACGCTAGATGGTTAGCTTATACTACAAGCTATTAATACATGCAATACAAGGCTTATTTGTTGGCCAAGTATACAACCTATCAATCACTTATAGACATATATAAAGATGAAATTATATCTATAAAGGTTTTAAGAAGATTTTTTATAATATATTATTATATTAATTTATTTTTATTTATTTTTATATATTCATATTATTTAGGTAACAATTAGAATAAATATGTATGTCTATAATATATAAAATTTTTTAATAAGAAATTACTTAATATATTGCACGTTGGAGATTATATAATGGTGAGGAAGAAAGATATGGCTACTTATTCATAGTGGTCTATATTATGGCACGGCTATTGTAAATGCTCTCAAATTAAATCAAATGGATTATAATTGAGCCAAGTTTTATTTGGCATCAAATCAACATAATAAATCAAAATTATATTGAGAATTTTATACAAGTTTAAATAATACTAAAGCATTGAAGCAAGCTTTGTTTCAACGACATGAATCTCAAAAATAAATCCTCAATACACTCTTGTGTTATTCAAAAAGACTAAAATTTACTTAAAGATGGTAATATATTGAATTAAAATGGCTATTGCCAAAGGCAAGAAGACTTAAAAATCTTGAAACAAGACTAAGGACTAGAAAGGCATTGATAAGAATAAAGAAAGCTTCACTCTTGCCTCCATATATATTCTTAATTAGTAGCCACATAGCAATGTTCTATAATATCTTTAAAATGTGTTAACTTTGTAAGACACGTACCTTAACTTGCAAGGCAAGTTTTCTCTATGTGTGCCACATAGTTAGCTTGTATTATAAGCTACTAATATTTGCTTAACTTGTTGACCAAGTTTCTAACCTATCAATCAATTACAAACATATGTAAAGTCAAAGAAATATTTATGAAGCTTCTCTAAAATTTATTATAAAATAAATTTATTTTTATTTACTTCTATTTAATCATATTGATAAATATTAGATTAAATATATATGTTTGTGACATTATTTCCTCCCTCCCCTTCATTTTTTTTTTTTTTTTTTTTTTAGGAATGAGTTCCAAGAGGATCAGTCATTATATGTTGAGAAAATCAAAGATACAATGAATTATGTTTAGTACATACTCCAATCTTTATTTTCTTCAAAGATGGTTGATAGATCCTTTTAGCCATCAATAGTATCTCATACTAGGACAAAAAGACCACTCTATTATTTCATCATTGTTGACGCCTTTATAACTTAATTCAAATGAAATATTTGAAACACCATCAAAATTTGTTCCTACCTCTAATAAAATTACCAAATATCAAGAGTCTCTTCCAAAGTCGTGATACTAAACATATTGTATCTCATTATCATGTTGTAATATGACTATATAGTAAAAGATAATAATGTGGATCTTATTATAAAATAGCCAAGTTAAAAGATAAAGTAAAAAAATATGGATAAAAGATAGAAAGGTAGTAAAACTTTTAGTAGTAATGCTGCCCTTTTAGAAAAATAGCCTCTACTTACTTTGTAGGGCCATTAATAAGGCAAAATAAGGTAGATTGGAAAAATAAATGACATAGACATCTTTAGGAAGAAATTAAGAGTAAATTTTAACAACAATTACCTAGAAAAATTAGATATTGATATCCAGAAAGGGTTAGTTACAAACCTAGATTGAAAACAGACCCTGACGCACAAACCCGAATTCCGACAATGATTTGGGCATTCATTTGTAGATCAGAGAGTGGGATTTGATGGCAAACTAGATAGGGTTTTTATGAGCATTAGTTTTGAATGATTTGGATTTGTAATGACTTTGTAAGAGCTTTACAAAGTCAAGTTTATTTTTAGATGACTTGGATTTTGTGAAATAAAATAGGGTTTATATTTTGGATGATTTCAAGAGTTTTATAATAGATCTACAAGTAAAATTTTGTTGATAAATGGTTATAGTTGTGCTTAAAATTTTTTATAAATTTTTATCTTGATCTAACAATTGAATTGAGGATTATTGAGGTTTAAGTGGGTCAAGATATCATAAAGTAGAATTTTATGTCTAGTGAGGATTTTTAAGATTTCTTGAAATCTATTAGTTGGGTTGGAATGAAATTTATAAATAAAAAGAGTAGAATTATTTTTTTATGTATATAAAAATTTTGAGATCAATCAAATGGTGAAAAGAAATATTATTGGCTTTGGGAGATTGACATCAAGGTTGGAGAAGGAAGCTTGCTAATACCCGAGCACGTTTTTGAGGTTATCATCTATTTGATAATTCCGATCCTTTTCAACTTTTTTGTGCTTGTTGTCAACTTAATTTTTAAGAAGTATGCAAATTTTGACTTAAGATCAACAATTCATTTATTAGTAATTGAGGTTTAAATTTGTTACAGGAATTACTAGGATTTGGTTATGATTTAGTTTAGAATTAGGGTTTGATTAGGATTTAGGATTTGATTAGGATTTAGTTTAGAATTAGGATTTGATTAAGATTTAGGATTTGATTAAGATTTGGTTTAGAATTTAGGATTTGATTTAGAATTAGGGTTTAGGATTTAGTTAAGATTTGGTTATGATTTGGTTTATGATTTAGGATTTTATTAGGATTTATTTGTGGTTTAGGATTTTATTAGGGTTTATTTAGGGTTTAAGTTTTAGTTGGTTTTTGGCCTAAAATTTGAATGAATTTCAATAGAATTTTAACTAGGATTAAATTAAGATTGAATTGAGATATATTTGTGAGA